CATAATCAAATACAATCTCTCCATTTCAGTTGAAAGAACTCGGTAACCCTTTCAAGAGTTATTTATAAACTATCGTCATTATGGAATCCAGAAAATCGTCGTTCAAGTTGAAGGTCAGCCGTCCAGACAACGTCACGAATTGCTGTGTTACATGAGATGGCAGTTCAGCTAAAGTTGTTGCTTTAAACACGCCAAACGCATGAAACGTCTTCAGCTTTTGTCTGCACAGACGAAAAGGATCTAGGGGGACATTTTTATCCGAAAACGTCGTTAGAAAAATAGGAAGGACAGCGTTTGAACTTCTTTTTCTTCTATAAATCAAGGGAAAAAGGCGAGCCCAAAATGTCTGAAGATACGATCATCACCCTGGTGATTTTACCGGCTCTCATTTTCCTGTCCCTCGCCGTCCTCCTCTTTCTCTCCAACGCCCTGGAGGACATGATGCTGTACTGCGAACGTTCGAGATGCGGCCCGTTGCCCAACGCGGTCATCCGGGTTGTGTACTTCATGCTGCAGGTGCTGGCGTTTCCGATCTCGGTGCTCATGGTCATCCTGACGGTGGTGCTGCTGTCGTTGTTGGCGGTCATCCAGGCGGTGGTCTGGGCGTTTCTGGTCATGGTGACGCACCCCGTGGGGCTCATCATGCTGGTCGCGATCGTGGTGGCCTTGAGCACCACCAGTTGATGGCAGCCATTAGGAGAATACAATCAATTTTACGTTGTGCCCAACTCTGTGGTCACTCATTGTACATTTTTAGATACACTTACACACGGGGAAATAAAATTTATCAAATAAATATAAATCTGCATTTATTTTATTTTTTACATTTATTTATTACCCAAATTGCTGTTAAACATGTTTGACACAAATTTAAGTGATTTTTGAAAACATTACTTTTTTAGATTAGATTTGAGATTATGAGATTTATAAACAGTTAGAACTCTTGACTTTGTTGTTTGTAGCATAAAATTGTTGCAGACGATCAAATTGGATTTACGCATTTGAAAAATATACACCACGACCGACCTTTCAGACTCTGGAGGCGGTGACAGACTTAAGGTTTTATGGCATGCTGTGGCTAGCAAAGGTTACTGCCGCTCGAAGAGTTCAAAGATTGTGGCCGCCCTCCTTCGACGAAGAAACTCCGCAGATGGCCTAAAATGCAGCCTTTCCATGTGGTATATCTTAGTACATCCTTCGAATAATAATCGGATTCGTGATGGTTCTGATTCTATCTCAGGCTGCGCAGATAGCTGGTGAGACCGATTCTTTCCGTGGTTACGCAGATGGCTGGTGGGGCCTATTCTGGCACGAAATATTCCATTGCAGAATGTGCAAGGGATGATGGGACATCTTGAAGTGCAGAGTTAACCCGAGATTTTCTGTTTTTTTTCTATTTATCATCGCTGCTGCTGTTCTGCTGGCCTCTTGTTTTATTGAGTCTTTCAGTAAAGAGAACGCCACGATGCTCGATACTTTGCGATTCTCCCAACGCGTCCGTGTTTATATTATGAACATGTTGAGTGAAGATTTCAGGCTGTCTTTAAAGTTGTTTTCTACGCACCAGCAAAGCGCATTCCGTGCTCGAGGTCACCATAAAATAATATTCTTTTGGGCAAGTGGTCGTCTGACATTCTCACAGCTTGTTCCGCATTAAAATGGTGCACATGCTGAGGAGACCTGTCAGTGCCAGTGCCTTGGTGTCTGGGAATCTGTCCTGCCATTTGATGCTGATGATTTTTATGAGATTTGTCGTGTGAAGGGGGTTCAGCTTTTGAGCGTGTCGTTCGTCCATGTTTCGCGAGCTTAAAGAAGCCTAGAGAGCACAGCCTATAGATCAAAACCTAGAGGGCATGTCCTTGAGAGCACATCATAAGGAGCACAGCCTAGGAAGCACAACCTATGGACCAAAGCCTAGAGCGCATATCATAGACATCACAGCCCAAACAGCACAGCCTAGGGATCACATCCTATAGAGCACAGTATAGAAACCACATCCTAGAGAGCACAGCATATAGAGCACAGTATAGAAAGCAGATCCTAGAGAGCACAGCCTAGGGAGCATCGCATAGGGATCACAGCTTTCTTGTAGACTTTTATTTTAGTTGTAGCTGATACCTGTCCTGACACAAACGTGCTTTAACATTTTGCCATACATTCCACTGGCTCTTACAATACGACGTTCAACGTCGACAACGTCGTCATCTTATCATATATTTTTTCTACATCAAATATGCATTAAACTTGGTTTATCTGGTACTTAGGGAGGGTTAGTACATATGATTGGACAGCAGTTGTACCCCTTTGGGGTAGCTCATCAATCTTGTGTCCCCACATGGTAGGCTACTCAGCTCTCACTTGTGGCTACAAGAAGCTGGAGCATGCGCAGCGACCACACCATGGAAAACGGTTACAGCTCTATGGTAAAACTAGTTTGAGAGTAGACGAGGGAGATCAAATCTGCGGGGTACCCTCCCCGGTAGCATTTGACAGCTAGTTCCGGTGGACTGCGCCGAGGAACGACTGTGTATCTTTGTAGTCATCAGTCATCATCAGGCAACGAAAACAAAAAGCGGAGCCAGCAACGCGGCGCGAATCCCTCTGAGTATGGCAAGACACTTAAGACACCATGGTCTTTCACTGCACCAAATTCCGTCTTGACCGTGGCTTTCAATATCTACAGAGAATATTATTAATATAGAGAATTTGCATGCCACCCTATTCAAAACCCAACAAAGTAAAGTGTAAAGTGGCCTACCCACGTTCTTTTTTCTTTAGACGCCACGGATGACATGACAAATAGCTATCGCCTTCTAAGTTAACTTTTAATTTGTAATATACTTTAATGGTCGATGTTTAAAAGACAATAAATAGTCACGTGTTTGTAGTTTTGCATATTCATATATATTTAAATAAATTAAAGTTCATTTCGAAAACATGTTTAAATTTCATCAAATGATACTTGTTTTATCTTGGTTTCCTGGTTAACTTTTTAAGCTAAAAGTAAATATAAGTTCATCCTGAAAAAAATAATTGGGTCACAAATTTCAGTGAAGTATTTTAATTCCTTGTTTTGTGTTTGCATTTAAATTATTTTAAAGATATACCTATAATTCTTAATCTAGTTGCTATATAAACAAACTCATATGACATCTAAATACAATTTTGTCTACACCAGTCGGATGCAGTGAAGATAACGTCAATAACGAAACAATCATTCATTGAAATGGGACAATACTATCACAATACTTATTGAGTAAACTGTAGACTGTGGACTGAATTTAATTTTGATTTTTCCACATCACAACTTTTCGTCCCTTAAATAATAAATTTTCAAGTTCCCCTGAAGCCGGAGGATTTGCAGAGCCCACACAAAGGCCCTAGCTTACTTAATGTTAATTAATAATCGTGTAGGCCTAAATTGACTTTAAAAAAAGGTAGCTACACTACAGTACAGTTACAGTGACTTTAGTCTACAGACTACAGACTACAGAGACTAAGAAGTGGGCAGGGGTCCTACAAATTGCTAACTTAAAGTCACGTTCGGCTCTGAGTCTGAATATGTCTATTTTAATATTAATTAATTTTTTATTTATCTTAGACGTTATTACTTAGGGTTAGGGCTTAGCCTGTCTAACAAAATGCAGAATTTTAAAATTCCATTCAAATTCAATATGGAAAGGCTGATCATGAAAATTATGTACTTAAACATTTGGGCTATTTGATGGTGGTGCTGACATAATAACATGACTAAATTAAGGCTAAAATAAACTAGCTTAGAATTAGAATAGATTAGATAACTATGATTTTGATTTATTCAAATCCAATTACATTTAACCGGGAATTATGGCAAGAAAAAAATATCTATAGACCCCAATTCCCAATTATTATTCATTTTTTAAATGAATCGCTCAAACTCAAGTGTGATGGAATAAGAATAGTCAAATTTTTATTGAGACAATTATCAATTACTTTATTACATTTAGTGTAGGTTTCTATGGCTGTAGACTAGTATTGGCTGAAGTATTGTCAAGTAGGACCCTCACTCTAGATATTGTCATGTGTTAAATTGAAATAAATATTCATACCATATTTAACATATAGGGGGCCTATTAATACATCATTTAAATGTCAAATTAATTAATTTTATTAGGCTAACTTAAAATTAAGCAAACTTAGATTAGTCTCACTGATTAGTTAAAATAATACTACTTAGATTTAGAATCCATTGAATTAGGAATTATAATATGTATGGACCCCAATTATTCATTTATTGAATTAGAATCTTGACACTGAATCACTCGGAGTGATGGAATAGTCTTAGTCAATATTTTTTTTATAAAAGACAATTAAGTCAAGTATAAAGTAGTGAAGTCTGTAGGTCTTTCTATGGCTGTAAACTAGAATTGTCTAATAGGGTCCTCACTCTGGATATTTTCATTTGTAAAATTTAAATAAATATTCAAACTAAGTAATAATATATCATTTATAAGGCATGATGAGCATTGGCCATAGCTTAGCCGTATATGCTATATTATAGAGCACTATCTTGTCTTTAGACTATAGGCCTACTATAAATTAATTTGTTTGAGGTTATCAAAGTGGGTGTTTTCTGTTGACCTGCAGATAGATCGCACCCTTAGTTTTGGGAGTTTCATTCACTTTTTTAACTTAAATGTAACTTATAATTTTTTTAAAGAGACGTAATAAATGTTTCTATAGCAAGTTCAAATGTTAACAGCAATCGTCCTAAAATATGTCATCTTTAATAAACATTATTTTTTAAAAAGGTTTGCTCTCCGTCCAAGCAATAGTGAGCTAGGGAAAAAAAAATTGATGTCCAGTAGATAGGTAACACCTTTTTTAAAATATTTTTTTTTCAAAGTGTGACCTATTTGCAGGTAAATATAGCAGGCATTCTAGCCATTGTTGTAATTTTGTGGGCTGATATAAAAATAAATAATAATTTTTTTGTCTTTTATTTGTTGCTAACTTTGCAGGATTCGTTGCATGTAAAATGTGAAGATGGAAACAACAGATATTATCACGCCTGAAGAAAAGAGTGCTGAAGTTTTTGCTGATGAAAACGTCCAGATTGAAAATGAAAATAATAAAGCTGCAGATAATAATAACACCTTATTAGATGCTAATGGAAATAGACGTATTGATGAAGGTAAGAACTTAATACATTTCAAGAAAAAGTGGATTTATAATTAGTCTAATGCATTTTTCATTTGCATTATTACTTATTTATTTATTAATTAATTTGAAAAAAAAATTTCATTAAATAAAATAAATGCTGGTTAGTACATGCATAAATATTTCCAACCTATATTATTCATATTTTAAAATAATCTTTAAAATGAAATAATTATTTTTAAGAAAGCTCCTTTGTTTGTAAATTTGATAAAAATTAAAAAGAATGTCATTTACTTTGTCATGAATGGTGTCCAGTCTTATTCTTTGTTTATATTTTAGGTTTGGACAGTGGTGATTGCCCAAATGAAAGTGGAAAGGACCGCAATGCATTGTTTCAACTAGGTCTTGAGGAAGAGAAGAGAGGAAACTACGATGCAGCCATCGATTGCTACTTAGATTCTTTGAAGGGATTGCAAAGCAAGGCTCAATTCTCATGTCTGCCTCAGTGCCTTCATAATGTATATTTATTAACTGCTTTAACTTTAAGTATAGATGTCTTTGTTTTAAAATTGACATGTTAACTGTTAATGCAAAAAGAATGCACAAAATCAAAATTAGAAAGTGATGTATCAAAAAAAAAAATCACTTGTTTTAAGGGGTTTCTGTGTACTGACATTTAAACGCTTACCAAATAAAAAAAAACTTAATATAACTTGAGTGAATGAAATCTTGTTACTCACTGACAAAATCAAGAACTTAATAATTTATCTAGAGTGCATTAAATCTTGTTGCATAACATATAATTAAAAAACAAACATCTGATTAAATTAATTCTTCAAGTTTTTCTTTTTCAACTTTAGATTGCTGTTATCTATCGAGATCAAGGCAAATGTATCCTTTAATTTAGAACTTGAAATTTGTTGAACTTTAATTAAAGCATTTATATATCTTGAGGGCAAAATATGACATCTGTTTTTCATCTGAGATCATATTAATGTTACATTTTTTTTCTAAACTTTATTTTATTCCTTGTAATTAGTGAAAATATTAGATTTTACAGAAATCAAATCAGCAGACTAATTGTTACTGGGCACTCAAAGATTAGTGAAACAAGAATTATAATTCTATTTTATTTTGTTTATTGTAATTTATTTGTATTCCTTAAATTCATGCCAGATGATCAGGCTGTACAGTTTGCTCAAGCAGAAAGATTTTTCTATGAATCATCGCTTATCAATAGTGAAGAAATTCAGAAAAAACTGGGTAAGGGTTATGAATTGAAATATTGTAAATACCAGTTCTTCCTTGTAAAAGTTAAATAAATGCTAAGCAAATAAAATAATGAAGTGTTTCTCTTTAACCAACAGGTTGCTTATTTAGTTACTGGTATAGAAACATTTTGATGGTAGCTAAATATCTATTATAAACATATATTATTGTAAGATTTAATTTTAAATAAATTTTAATCTTTTATAGTTATCTCCTAAGTAGCGGTATAAACTTACTTACCAAATGCTCATTATCATAAATCAAATATAATCAAATAAGCAGGTTAAAATCTCAAGTCAAAACATGAAAAATTCTCTTACTTATTACCAGGAGGTTATCCAACCTCAGAAAAGTGTTATTGATTATTTCTTTTATTAGAGTGTTTGTTTAACTCATATAAAAATAATGAAATTTGTTTAGCATTTATTTTATTTTTTATTGTAAGTGTCGGGTGAGATGAATTAAGGAGAAAAATTTCAACAAATATTTTTCATGGAATCATTTTGTTTCAGTTACAGAAGCTACAATTTGCAGTAATTAGTTTTATTTTTTTTCTAATAACTTGTATTCTTTCATTCTTTTTTGGTGTTGTTTTTTTTTTTTTGGTGAATTTTAATTTCATGCAACAATGATTTGTTCAGATGAGGTGGCTGGGGAAAATGGAGAGCCAAAAGATTTGAATGAACTCAACATTGAAGCTTTGAAAGCTGATGAATATGAACACATGGCTAAACTCTGCTTGATGAAGAAGCAGTAAGAATAGCTGTTCTTTGTGTGTTTTTTTTTTAAGCATTTCACAAGTGATCACTTTATAGAGAAGTATAAGCTTACTCATCTTAAATAAAAATGCATTGAAATAATTTTTTTAAATGTCAAAAGACAATATAATACAAATTATTAATCATATTTTTAATTAACTTGCAAGCAATTGCTATTTTATTTCATCTTATTGCATGGACTGAAGATTTGTGCCAGTGTTCAACATGTTCCACAATTTTTAGATGATGGTCGTAACAACTTCTTATAGTTAGAGATGAGCATGAAGTAAAACATTTAATAGCATTTTAACTGTATGATGGAGGAAAAATAAAATAACTTTAAACTAAGAATATGAAGGAATCAAATGGTATAAACATCATAGGTTAGTATTACAATAAACTTTAATATTATTTTTTTTATTTTATACAATGTAACCAATTACATTTCCTTACAGGCAGGACCTCGCCTTGAAGTATTGTGGAAAGGTAAGCACATCAAATACTTAAAGACTGGCACACTCCATCTTAAATAATTTCTGTGTTAATTATAGAATCTAAGGCAGGCAAAGTTGGCGCTATATGCTATTAAAATGGCAACTTGTTATTTTAGGAAAAAAAATAACTTATCTGCACAGACATTAACACTATCCACTGCAAATGATTTTTTAATCTTAAATTTTAAAAGTTAATTTCCAGTGCTCCACATCAAATGAACACAGGGATAGAGTTAAAGCTTTGCATCACTGCATTCAAGTTACGACATTAAATAATTATGGTTTTTATGCATACCCTTTTGCTGAGAGATATACTACTTTAAATAAAGTTTTTAAAATACTGTAATATTATGTAAAAGCTTTTACTTCTTCTAAGACCAGATTATCCCAGCCTTTTGACGAATGGAAAAGTGTAGTAGATGCTAAAATGAATTGAATTTTTCTATTGAGAATGACACTATATTTTCTAGTCTTTCTTTTTTTTTAATTTAGAGAGGCAGTTAGGAAAAGTGGTTTTTCAAATTTTTTTTTGCTTGGAATTACAAATACTGTAGATAAGTTTTAATAGCAGAAGTTTTTTTATTTTTAAAAATTTAATATGAGTTAATCCAACTGGTGCCTCTATTCACCGTTTCAAATGTAACAGCTTATGCCAATGAAAATTAAAGCTAGTTAAAACATTAGGGTGTATTATATGCATGCATGCCAAACTGCAAGGTTTGTCCATACTTTATGCAGGTTTTAGGTGCTTTGAAAATGTACGACCATACAAAACTTAGTAAGATTTTTCAAAGATTTAGATAATTTGTTTAAAATTAATTTTTTAAATACATCATTTTGTACAATGCACAATACATTCTTTCTACCGGTATTACTATAACTAGTATTACGCCACTATATGACTAAATATTTACCATATGCTTGATCAATAGGATCAGCTTGATCAATAGGATCATCTCATGCATGGTGGAAAAAGATATTTTAAAAACCTTTTAAAAAAGACGCTCTATCAAAAACGAGTTTAACCTCACTAAAAGCTGGAATATATTATTCAATTTCTTAAAAGGCTTTACACAAAAAAAGATTGCAGAGGTGTAGATGAGAAGGGTTTCTTTGAGTAATGCATTTTAATAATTTTTTAATTATTATCTTCTATTATTTTTCAAATGTCTTTGATAGAAGCATTTTTAAAAATTATTTTTTAATAAATTTTTTATGCTGCTTTTAAGTATTCAAACCTGTATCGTAAATCCAATAGTTATCACAATGCACAGTCTGTATCAACCCCTCATTTAAATCATAGTGAGAGGGTAATTTCCCCATTTCTCACCATGCCATCCCTCTCGGTCTACCCAGCATACCGGAGCTCGCTAGCTCTCCAAACCCCCCCACCCTTTTCCTTTCTCCCACTGTTAACTGAACAAAGCAGATGTAATGAACTGTGATCAACTGAGCGATAAAGACACATGTGTTAACATTAAAATTAGAATTTGAAAAGAAGATGAAAATGCAAGTAGAAAGAATGTCATTAAAAAAGAATAAAAAAGACATTAAGTGCTTGCTTTAAGCTCTTATAAAATAGAAGCTTATTTTAAAACATAGTTGCACAATGAAACTTTGAGACAATGAAGGGAGATTCTACCTTTAGTAAATCCTTTTCTCAGCTCCATCATGTAGAGAATCTATCACTAACAGATGATGAAGCTCTCATTTGCAAATTTTTTATTGCAATCACATCTATTTTAAATTGCTAAATTAAAAATTAACAAGAAATTATTGGAAAGACAAAGTTTACATGCATTCAAAATATTAATAATTAAATTATGAAAAGGTTATAACTTATACTTTTTATTTTTGACCGTTTATTTCTTTCTGTACCATTTTTCATGCTGTCATAAAGTTTTTGGGAACTTTTTGTACAGTTCTGGATCCTGCAGGTTGACATGTATGTATGTGTACGCTTATAATCACTGTATTAAAACAGATTCCTTGTATTGCAGAGTACTAAAATAAGACAAAAAGTCTATGGGAATAACCATGAAAAGACAAAGGCTTCCCTCAAATTCTTTACAGCTATTTATACAGAAATAGAAAAAATGCCAAACTCAGGTAATTTTCTTAATCATCGAGAACATTTCAACAGTCAGTTATTTGATTCATAGGGGAATGTAATTATTTCACTTGCAGTACAGTAATTTATTATTTCTCTTTATTTTAATTTTTAACAATGTTTAACTAAATCTCAGTAAGCTTTAAGATATTCAATAATTAATATTCGTATATATATTTTTTTTTTAAAATTTCATCTTGCAATATGTAAGATATTTTTGTTTACCTTAGTTGTCATAAAATTCTATGTACAAATGTTTAAAAACTATTTTTTAAAATACTTTTTAAATTTATTAACAAAAAGAAGATATTAAAATTAGAATAAAATTAGAAGAGTTATTGATAGAGTAGAGTTAGCTTGGTTGTTAAAATCTTTCTAATATCAGTAAAAAAGGTAAACAGGTCTCACAGTGAGTCAGAGAAAAGTATGCTACAGGAATGCGTTTCAAATCCCAGCAACACATACTGTCAACACCAGTTATTGCAGAATATGGCACTATGCAGGATAAAAGTGCAACAATCTACCACAAAAAAGTGACTTCTAATAGAAAATCCATAAAAAGAAAAATTGTCAGATCAATTGATTAAATACAATAAATTTGTCTTTTCTTGTTCAGTTGGGCTTCTGAACTGCAACCCTGATTCAGTTGACATCACTGTCAAAACTCCTGACACGATCGTGTCTACACCAGCTGGAGGGGAGCCTGTGTCCATCTTACGACAAAGATCAGAAGATAGCCTAAAAGATGGAGGTAAACAAAGCGTATAGTAAACTAAAAATTTTGTGCTCTTGTTTTATTTTTTTTTTTTTTTTTTTTTACCTCATCGTGTTTTTATTTTTAAATTATCAACCTTTGAATAATTACATCCTAGTGAAGGTTTGAAACTCGAATCCATAATTCTTGATAACATCGTCTTTTTTTTCTTCTTTTTTTTAAATTTTAAAAAAATATTTCAGCCCGTGAAAAGAAGCAAGTTCACTTTCATGAATCTGTAGATGAAAGCATACGTAACAGGGAAAAAGGTTTGTTATATTTTATTGTCTATGACATAGTTTATAAAGACTCATACATGTTACACTTTCTCACCTGCCCGCTTTTATGGGGAGGCGTCACAGGGAGGTTACAATTTACGATTAGCCACAAAGTGTGAGGCCTCCTGGAGGTTCATGTTGTGAACTTTTAGGGTCATCCGGAACACAGTCGAACCACAAACGGCATGGTCTTTTTCTGGCCCTGAAACCAGAGTGCCTGCAGTTGTAAGCCTGCAATTCAACTTGATTAACAGGCATTCTGACCAGGTGGCCAAGCAATTAATTTTGCAGTTGGGACATATATTGCTGATTGCAATGGCACCAACCATTTATCTTATTTTCTGGCTTCAAATGTGGTCCATTCTTATTTTACCAACTGCTCACCTTAAAAGGTTATTATGAATGTATGCAGTGATTAGAAAATGGTATCTGATGTAGCATTGCCATTGGGGTAATTTACTTTTAGTATTAGTACATAAAAGAATATTTAAAATAAAAATAATCACTCTTATAAAGTCAAAATAAGTTAGGTGGCTGGGTAATACATGGAGTGGACGGCTTACAAGCGGCTATTGGAAGATTTGAATAAATTTGTCCAGGTACATTGAATTATGAAATTGTTCTCATAAAGTTCTGAGATCTTAGTCTACCTTATCCTCTACAACATTCAAATACATACATGCAACAACATTTTTGGAAGTAGATGGCGCCACTATTCTGTAAATGTCAGCTAATGACCGGTTATACCCCTTTCAGGCTTTTACTGCCCAAAACAAGGGTGTCTGTTTATAAACAAAAAAAGGCTTTAGATCAAGTATCAATGGTAGTTGAAACCCAATGCTTGGCATTAGCAATAAATATGTTGGGCCCCTCTAGAAAAGTTACTTTCAGAGAATTATAATTTGTGGATATGCATGTAATTGCTTTACTACAAAATTTATAGTGTACTTATACTATGTAGTGTTATATCTATTAGGTATTTCAAATATCAGGGCAGTTTACCTTAACACTACCAATACTGAAATTTTTATTTCTAGGGGACATCTTGAGAAATTTACTGATATTAATAGTGGCCATAGTGGTGACAATCTTGTTGATGTCCTTCTGTTAAATGTAATTGATTTAGACTTTGTTGTTTCTGTTCTGCATTCATTTCAAAAGCTGCCCAGCTCACGGTTTGGAAAATCTGATATTTTTGTATTTCACTTTGAAATGGTTATAGTTATGCTAATTATATTTTTTTAGAAATAGGTTTGGTTGCAGTCGTTGAAATTATGGGTTATTCAAGTAAATAAAATAGGTTTGGTTGCAGTCGTTGAAATTATGGGTTATTCAAGTAAATAAAATAGGTTTGGTTGCAGTCGTTGAAATTAAATAGGTTTGGTTGCAGTCGTTGAAATTATGGGTTATTCAAGTAAATAAAATAGGTTTGGTTGCAGTCGTTGAAATTATGGGTTATTCAAGTAAATAAAATAGGTTTGGTTGCAGTCGTTGAAATTATGGGTTATTCAAGTAAATAAAATAGGTTTGGTTGCAGTCGTTGAAATTTTGGGTTATTCAAGTAAATAAAATAGGTTTGGTTGCAGCCGTTGAAATTATGGGTTATTCAAGTAAATAAAATAGGTTTGGTTGCAGTAGTTGAAATTATGGGTTATTCAAGTAAATAAAATAGGTTTGGTTGCAGTCGTTGAAATTATGGGTTATTCAAGTAAATAAAATAGGTTTGGTTGCAGGCGTTGAAATTATGGGTTATTCAAGTAAATAAAATAGGTTTGGTTGCAGGCGTTGAAATTATGGGTTATTCAAGTAAATAAAATAGGTTTGGTTGCAGGCGTTGAAATTATGGGTTATTCAAGTAAATAAAATAGGTTTGGTTGCAGGCGTTGAAATTATGGGTTATTCAAGTAAATAAAATAGGTTTGGTTGCAGGCGTTGAAATTATGGGTTATTCAAGTAAATAAAATAGGTTTGGTTGCAGTCGTTGAAATTATGGGTTATTCAAGTAAATAAAATAGGTTTGGATGCAGTCGTTGAAATTATGGGTTATTCAAGTAATCAACATATTACAACTCATGTTGTTTGTTTATTTTTTAAGTTGAAAATTTATTTTTTATTCTGACTTAAATGGTTCTTATAATTGTTTAGTAATTATAATTTAATACAGGTAAATGTTTGTTTTAATACACAGTATAAAACTAAAAGAGGTTCTGTACTTTATAATAATTTCTGTATATAAAATATAAAGACATTTTATATTGGATTTTGGAAATCCAAAGAAATATTACTTTCCATGTTTTTTTTTGTAAAATTGTACTTGCAGATTAGAGATTAGGCTTGTATTTTCTAATAATGTAAAATTGTGATTATATTTTATTTTCTTTTTAAACCATCTCTCTAGACTTAGGGGAAAAAAATAATTTTTGAATCTGTTTTTTGCAGAAAAGCTGGCATCTTCAATAGTAAGGCAGTTTCGTCTAGCTGTGTGCATAGTCCTCCTTGCAACATTAGGCATGTGGCTGTACTGCTCGGTAAGCAAAAGCCAGTCTTGTCAGAGACCTATGGCACAGCTCAATCAGTGGATTCAAACTCTACGTTACTATTGTCACCTACTAACTACAGCACCTTCAGCTCCTACATAACATGATGCAGTGCCTAGAGGAGAAATCTGGTAGACAAGTAGCAGAGGAGGAATAATGATTTAATTTGTGATGTATTTATTCCAAGACATGCAGTCTTGTTAAAATTATGTATTAATCATTTTTGCAAAATCAAAGTGATTGTGAATATTTTCTTCTTTTTTTATATGATACAAAATTTTTATTTTACATGCATTTTAATTTTAAGCTTTTGAATCAGAATTCATCAGCCAAGAAATTCTCAGTTACAAATTTAAAAGTCTAGTTTTAGAGATCTAATATTTCAAATGATTTTAATGTCAAAGATAAAAATATTAAAATTGATCAAAATATGCTAACTTGTACGGTACTTGTATAGTAACAAATAAAACATTAATATTTTTTAGATAATCAGCTAAATTTAATTTGCATTGAATGACATGAATCACCTATGCAGCTGTTTGTAACAGTTCAGAATACAATTTTAGCATTTGTTAATTAGTCTTTGCAATTGTTATTTTGCTCAAATATCAAAAGGCTAGCAGTTCCTCAACTGGATCGTATTCTCCTTCATCTCATACATTAAATGCATGTGCACGTAGATTCCCATATTTTCTTGGTATTTAGCATTTGTATTTTAAGTGCTTGGTTTTAATATGTAAAATATTAACCGCTTTAATAATATATGTGATTCCTATAATTAACTAGATCAAAAGTCTAAGAACATCTTTCAATTATTATTAATTTTAAAAATTTGTTAGCTTCATACTCAAGGAAAATAAATGCTAAAAAATCAATAGTATAAAATACTTGTTAACTAATAAATCTGTTTTGGAGCACACATTTATTATTATATAACCTAATAAACTGAATCTGAATAGATCATTCATTTTAACTACTACGCTTTATACTTGTTTAAAAAAGTTTATTTCCAACCTCCTAACACATTTTTCCTACTTACTTTTTAATATTATCAAAACATAAGCATGATAAAGCAATGTGTAAAATACATTACTGTACATGTGCTGGCTCTGTTTCCATTAATAACTGCTACCCAGTTAATAGGAAGATTTCTCTTGCTTAATTAAATGTATGAATGTATACAATTTTAATTTTCTAATGAATTCTCCATAAAAAGTATACTTGAATCACTCTGTTTGTGTGTTTCTAAATACAAATTTTAGTGGCATTTTATGTTATTGAATTGGCTAACAATTTTTTTTAATTTGCCATTTGTTGGGGCATATTTTATTTTTTAGCTTAAAAATGTCATGAAATATGCAGTAGTAAAATATTTCCTAATATTTAAATAATAATAGTATTGTTTTATTTTTTACAATTTTTTACAGACATGATTGAGAAAAATAACATAATTTTATTCATTGCTCAGTTTGAGTTTTTATGTCTTTTGTGATTTGGATTTGTATTAGAATATCAACCTTTTAAACAGCCTTAATTTGTGCAGGCAATTTTTTATAAATGTTTCTTTTTAACATTTTACTTGATGTTTTCTATCTGTTTCATAAATTTCATGAAGAAATTTATGTTAACATAAATTAATCCAGCATGGAACAGGAATTTATGGGCTCAGCCACATATTTACAAAATTTTCGTTTAATAGTAGATTTTTTTTTTTTTTTTTAGATTGCAGCAAGGGTTTATAAATATTTTAAGAACTTCAAATTTTATTGCAATGTTATTTTTGTTTAAAAATAAACAGGTTCACTGGGGACTGCAAATTAAATCCATTTATGTTTAGATAAAATGCTAACATTGGTTTTAATGAGTGCAGATAATTTGTGTAAATTGTTTTATTTGTACTTGTCTTTAATATTGACATTCTCAATATCTAAAAAAATCTGTGAATGTTAATCTAAATGGATGTTGGCTTGTGTTGCCAAGCTGGATATTTTATATTATAATATCAATGCAGAATCATTTATTTACACAGCTAAAACAAATTGCTTTCTCTGCCTTCACTGTGATTTAATCAGAATTTTAAAACCGGTACTTGCACCTCAATATTATTTAAGCCTCTGTGATAATGGTTGCTTGTGAATAAGCTTTGCCTCAAAGACATTTCTTTCTTTTCTATTATCACTTTAGGAAACATTTTGCCTATAATTTGACCGCTTCTTACTAAGTGACTTAGTAACATTTTAAAATGAAATTGTTTTCTTGACTTTCAAGAATTTAAGATGCAATACAATTGTGTTATCCTGAGAGAATATAATTACTATTAACTGGATAGGTAATTGACTACCCCCACACACTCCCCTGTGTCACCCATATGCTATCATCAGGTCTGTGATTCAGGTTCTGTATCTCTGTTTCATTAGTTGCCTACACTTTTCCACCTGTAATCTGTGGCTGACATTTCACTTCTTGTATCTCCAAATGGCTAACCTACGTTTAAATAAAGCAATTTTTAGTTAAATCCAGTTCCTCTTTCATTTTTTTAATTGAGGAGATTCTACAGAATTTTTTCTCAACCAGGCATTTTGAAGGCAGAAGCCTTTTACACCAATCACAACATCATACTAAAAGCATATTTTTAATTTGGTAAATTAAAAATATTGTTTCATATAGTGTACACATTAGATATAATATTCGTCAACTCATATCAAAACTTGTAACAGCTATCTTGTAGCCAGCATTACACTGACGGATAGCATGGCATGAATGGCTTATCATTGCCTCTCCTAATTTTTGAAGAGTTTTATCTCAACAAGACCTATGACACCTTAAATTGCTACCTTTCCTCACAGTGTCAGATTGAAAAGCAAATTTATTTTAAAAATTGTGACATTCTTTGTGCCATTTGATCCACTTTCAATTCTAATTCTAGAAATACATATGATTAAGTTGATTAAGAAAATTCAAATTACATGTAAATGTTAAGTCCAAATGGATAGACTACCAGGTTCCATGTAGTAAAACAACTCTAATGTCTGAATACAATGACAAAGCAGCAATTTTATCACACAAAATCCAAAACCTTTTTTTGGCACCTAGAACCATTTTGCATTGGGATGGTTCAAATAAAATAAACCAAATGTTATGATTACTGCTTAACATACCCATATTCTAATATTGCCATCAATATTACACTTTACTTCTTTTAATTGCAATGCTGACTTGTTGACTTTGAATTAGATGTTAATTCTTTTTTTTATGTACCAGTATGTATTTCTCTTGATCATTTCTGACTACACATTCCATTTTAAGTTTGTCTTCTGGGTCTTACTAAACTTTCTCAGCCTTTAAGAATTAAAAAAAAAATAATAATAATCATGTCTCTTCATTATTTCTTGATAACCTCTGTCATGTGACATGTGATGCAGTGTTCTCATTCATATTTACGCAAGAAAGATAACGTCTCCTCCATGACACTATTCATTGATGGCAAGAAAAAGATCACTATTTTTCTATTCAAAAGTTTAAGTAATTGTATTTTCTCAGTGAGCCTCTTATAATCTTACAAACCTGTTTTGATTCATTTCTTTTAAAACAACCTTCAGAATAAACTTCATCTCAGAGATCAGGTTTCCTAACTTTTTTGAGGCATGACCCCATTTAATTAAAGCAAAGTGACCCGCAATTCCTTTTTTATAGAAACAAAGTGACCCTTGTCCCCTATATATTTAACAAATTATTACTAGCGTAATGGTATAGAAAGCACATATATAGAAATAATTTTTTTTTATCAATATAAAAATATAATTCATAATATTAGTAACTATCATCCTCAACATTAATTTGTTTATTCTTTTTATTGGCCAATGAAAGCGTATTAAAAATCCACTCCAGAGTTGTGTAAAGGTATATGTGAGTATTATATTTTTAAAACTTAATTAATGCTGCTGATTAAATATGAAAATTTTGTTTAATCATTATTATTTTTTTAAGGTTACCATTAAGCTGGCAACCTTGAGGAGTACTCTTTATTTGACCCTATACAGGGTGGCAACCCACAGTTTGGGAACCCATGTTATAGATCTTAACATAAATGTTGTATTAGGAATAATTTATGATTGTTTGACAGCCAATTAGGAGAAATGTAGTTGATTTGCCATATACACTGTCATATCAATTCATTATAGTATTTATAGTATACCTATCTGAGTAGATCCATTCAGCATAGTATTTCTGATTCGCTTTTTACAGTTAAATTACACAAACATTACAATATGGGTAACTGACTATAATTCTTGGCTCTAGCTCAATTACTATTCATGTTTAGTAGCCTTATGAATTTTGTTTAAAGAGCCATCTGTGATTAGATAGTTAAAAAAAACATTTTGTATAAACAAAATAATGAGGTAAAAACTACTCTTTTTCAAAAAAAAAATTTAATTTACTGAAATTTAATTAAAAGAATATTGTATTTTACTATGTCTCTAAATTAAATATAGAGTCTACTCAGAAAGTGTAATTGTGTAACAAACAAATATATTTAATTGTGCTTAGGTAGACAGTAAATGTAGTTGGGCTGTTTTTTAATTAGTGTGTTGCATTGCCTTTTAAGAATCCAATCAATGTCACTGGCGTGCTCTTGGATTGTGCATTATTGTTTTATCAGTAGTATGTATAAAATGTGTTACCAGTAATTAAATCAATGAAAGTACTGAAGTTTCAAACATATCATTAAGCCTATGTAAGTAAGATGTGTTGTATTTAAGATTGTATTATTTTTTTTTTTACATCAAGAACCTTGTAAATTTAAATTCTTCTTTATTTCAACCCGATTATCAATTTTGAAAGATTTCCATGTTTTTGTGGATTATTTTTGTTTCTATTTCATCAACTTTTAGGATCACAAAAGTTCATCTCTTAGCATTTATGTTCATTATTTAAATATGGGTAAAACTGACACAAATTAAAGCAATATTAACAGTAGCTTTTCTGTTGTAGCACTAACTGTGGTAAGCCTTTCAATTTTTCAGCACAATTTCATTCATCAGATATGCTTAGATTATATTTTTCAATATGAAAAGTGATTGGCTAAGTTTTCTTTTTCATTATTTAGTGTGTGGTTCTGTTGATTTCTAAAGATTGGAAATAGCAAGTTTGATTAAAAATTGCTTTGGAACATGAAATATCCTTTATTATTTACTTATTTAGAAAGACAGTGTTCCATTTTGTTAAAATTTTATGTGACACATAAAGAAAACAGTGACAGCTATGACACAAGGAGAAAACACTGACAGCTATGACACAAGGAGAAAACACTGACAGCTATGACACAAGGAGAAAACACTGACAGCTATGACACAAGGAGAAAACACTGACA